TTGTATGCCCATCTGCGGTCATATCCCTAGTATCACACCATTGCACATTATGTACTATACCTATATCCATGAGCTCACGTATCCAACTGATATGTCCAAGCAGAGTCCGTTCTGTAGGTATTTTGAGATCCCTGCTTGATAAAGATTTGTAGACGGACTCAGCGTCTATGGTAAGAGAGACTTTGATAGCAAGGCCTCCAACTTCACGCATGTCTCGTAGTTGTCGTGGAGTCAAAGCCCCTGCCTTAAGCTCGTGGAGAGTAATGAGCGTAGGGTAACACTCATCAAGGTTATGTGCGGCTGCAAGTGCCTCCGCAGCATAACTGGACCTCACCTGTAATCGGTGTGATTTGCATAGTCCGTCACAGAGGTGAACGACGGACTTGCCTTGAGGCGAGTTTCCTCGCCGTAATACGTTGGCCCCGCGTATGCCGTAGCCCTTGGTCTCGTCATCCTCCTCCCCGGTAAGCTTCCGATACGCCGAATCGCTATGGATGTCAACTTCATTCGTCGGCTTCATCCGAGGGAAGGTGATACGTTTCGGGCTGCTGGTCAGCTTTCGCGTCACAGCATTCAAACGTCTGACTTGCAAATTGGTGGGCTCTTGAATTTTCTGAAGAGAGACCACATATACCATGAGCCAGATTTGGGTAAGAAGGGCATAGGCGAGGGCTCCTCGCAGGCTGACGAACATGTCGGTAATGAGTTTCGTGGCTTTGGCGTCGGCCGCCGCTCCTGTAAGTTCTGGGTGTGTGATAGGACGTAGTTGTTTAATGTACTCGTCCTGGTCCATGATCACATCTCCCTGATCATTCTTAGTGTAGCGAACGGCGCAGTTCGTATATGTGTGCTTGTTGAGCTTGCATTTGCCAAACACCTTTTCGACACGTTGTACATAGTCGTCTATATTTTTCTCTACACCTGTCATATTAATATCATCTACATGTTTTGCCGTCAGGAGGTCTTGGCTGAATTCAAGTTCAGGATCGTAGCTGGTCGGTGTAAGTCCTATAGCTCGTGTGGTCGTACGAAGTTTGAGAGAGAACGCTCTTGGAGCGTCCTTAGTACCCGTTCCTGGTTTAAGGCATCTAAGACAGTGTCGACTTTCGTCGCAGGATGAGAAGCCGGGTAATGTACAAAGTACCTGAGCGCTTCCTGGTGGAAGAGTAAAGCAAACCATGCGAGTTTCCTCGCCGGTGGCATGGGCAAGTTCCTCATAGGTCAAACCCTTGAGGAACGCCTTATCGATATCCATGGATGCTAAGATCCACTCTGGATGGCACGCCGCTTCACTTGCCAGGAGTCGTTGGGACTGCCTTCTGGCGGTTCCCGAGAATGTTTCCACATCAAAAGCCTCAGTATCCATAAATCCACGAAGGACCAGTCTGAGACGAATGGTTTTAACGTTCTCGGTACCCATCTTTACGAACTTCCACTTGTATACATATCTGGACGTCATGATGTTGGAAGCTTTGGATAAATCGTACATCTCAAAGCATCGATTATCAATCCAGATTTTGAGCTCAGTATATAAGGCTTCACTAACCTCCTTTGGATGTGCTGCTATGTCGGCTTTGGTTAGTAGATCATCTTCTTTGACAACCACAGCACGTTTAGCAGCAGAGGATACATATACTCTCATCGTTGCGACCATATCGGTATCGAGCTGTGCAAGTTGAGTCTGATCCAACACTATTTTAAACATTTCTGATGCAAAGCATAGTTCAACGTAAGGACCGTATTCATCACTGTCTAGAGAGTAGCTCTCGTCGGCTGTGTTTGAACAAAGAGAGACTAGACAGGACTCGCATGATTTCGGCTCGTCTCCGAGCATATCTGATGATATAATATCATCTTCGTCCACAAATGCTGAAACCAAAACACACTGGTCGGGCAGCATAGTTGTTGGGACGCAATAAAGATAATCATCGGTAATCGTCGTAGGATGAAGGTCCATACGTAGCTCGTCGTACCACTCTTCCAGCATCATAGCTTCAATATTGTGTTCCTCATTTTCCTCATAGATTGTCGACAGACGGCCTTCGCTCGGCGATGAAGCGTCTGGTGTGTCTGGAGAAGGCCTGTTTCCAGGCGACTCGTGTTCTCCAGACGTGTTGCTTGGATGCTGATATTTAGCCAAATCGTCGTGAAATCCTAAGGAAGGGACACGTGAAGTCAAGCATTGAATAAGTCTGGAGTGAGTGCTACCAGTGATCTGAGAAATGTTTAAGCCAGTGCCCACGCATTCGTAATAGTGGAACGCCGGGCTGATGTCGTTGTCATAGTGGATCAGCGTAGACCCGGTGGCGTACTTTACTGCAGGTAGGCTTGACACACTCTTAGCCAATCGAACTGCTACTACATGTTCTACTCGGAAGTAATTCCGTACGAGATACTGTAGTGCTAAGTGTACGCGCGGGTGAAACTTGCTGTCGTCTGACAGATTAAGGTTTCCCTTGTAATCGGGGATATACCCGAAAACTTTGGCAGGTTTCCCTGC